TATTTCCTTCCTCCTACTTGCTCTAGGCTGTCTTTATTGTTGTTCCTTGATTTCTTGTAGACATAGGGTTAGGTTGTTTGTTTGAAATGTTTCTATCTTTTTGTAGGTGGGCCTGTATCACTATGATCTTTCCTCTGAGGACTGCCTTGGCTGTGTCCCATAAATTTTGGGTTGTTGTGAGTTCGTTTTCATTTGTTTGAGAAACTTTTTGATTTCTTCCCTAATGTCATTCTTGACCCATTCATTGTGTAATAGAATGCTATTTAATCTCCATGATTCTGAGTGTTTTGGGTTTTTTTCCTTGGGGTTGGTTTCTAGCTTCAGTCCCTTGTGATCCAAGAAAATGCTTGGTATGATTTCAATTTTCTTGAAATTGTTGAGGCTTGTTTTGTATCCTATCATGTGGTCTATCTTTGAAAATATTCCATGTGTATTTGAAAAGAATGTGTTCTTAACTTGTTTGGGATGGAGGGCCCTGTATATATCAATTAAGTCCATTTCATATAGGGTATTGTTCAATGCCACAATATCTTTGTTGATATTTTGTTTGGAAGATCTGTTCATTTTGATAGTGGGGTGTTAAAATCCCACACTAGAATTGTGTTGCTGTCAATATCTTTCTTAAAGTCCTCTAAGATTTTCTTTATGAACTTGGGTGCTCCTATGTTGGGTGCATACATATTTACAATGTTTATGTCTTCTTGATGGATTCTTCCCTTGTGTATTATGAAGTGACCTTCTGGGTCTCTGTTTCTGGCCCTTTTTTGGAAGTCTATTTTGTCTGATATGAGTATTGCTACCCCGGCTTTTTTTCCTGTCCATTTGCTTGGAAAATTTGTTTCCAGCCTTTCACTTTCAGCCTGTGCAGGTCTTTTATCCTGAGGTGGGTCTCTTGTAGGCAGCATATGTGTGGGTCATGTTTTCTTATCCATTCAGCTATTCTATGTCTTTTGATTGAAGCATTTAATCCATTTATGTTTAAGGTTGTTATTGATAGGTACTTTTCATTGCCTTTTATGTACGTGTGTTTCTCTCTCTCTTTCTCTCTTCCTTCCTTTCCTTAAAGCAGTCCCTTTAGAATCTCTTGCAGAGCTGGTTTGGTAGAGTTGTATTCTTTTTGACTTCTTTTGTCAGGGAAGCTTCTTATTTGGCCTTGTATCTTGATTGAGAGTCTTGATGGGTAAAGTAGCCTTGGTTGCAGACCTCTGGTTCTCATTACTTGGAATATTTCTTGCCATTCTCTTCTGGCCTGGAGTGTTTCCATTGAGAAGTCAGCTGTTAGCCTTATTGGGGCTCCCTTGTATGTTACTTCCAATTTTTCCCTTCCTACCTTTAATATTCTCTCTTTTTCTTGAAACTTTGCCATTTTAATTATGATGTGTCTTGAGGTGGGCCTCTTTGGGTTCCTCTTTATTGGGACTCTCGGGGTTTCCTAGATTTGTGTGACTTTTTCTCTCATCAAATTAGGGATGTTTTCCATCATTACTTTTTCAAATAGGTTTTTTATCCCTTGCTCTTCTTCTTCTCCTTCTGGTATCCCTGTTATACGGATATTATTATGTTTCATATTGTCTTGCATTTCTCTTAGTCCCTCTTCATTCTTTGTGAGCCTCTTTTCCTTTTCTTGCTCTTTCTTGGTGTTCTTTTTACTCTGTCCTCCAATTTGCTAATCTGGTCTTCTGTTTCATCAATACTGCTTTTCGTTTCTTTTACTGTGTTCTTCATTTCAGAAATTGTATTCTTCATTTCCTCTTGGCCCTTGTTGATGGTTTCTATTTCCTTTTTCATGTTTATATAGTTTGCAGTGAGATCTTGTAGCTTTCCTGTAGCTTGTGGTAGCTCACTGTGAGTTCATTGAGCTTCCTGATAATCATTGTTTTGAACTCAATATCTGATAGTTGAGTTGCCTGTATTTCATTTAGCATTTTTTCTGAGGCTTCCTCCTTTACATTCATTTGGGGATTGTTTCTTTGTCTTCTCATTGTTCATGAGAGTCTTCTTGTTAGCCTCCGTTTCTTAAATTTATCTGTTCTTGTTCCCTGTGATGGTGTGAACTTCTGTAGTAGAATACCTGTGAGATTCAGTGGTGTAGTGTCCTTCATGTATCCTGGTGTTCACAGCTTCCCCCTACTCCAGACAGGTAGGAGGGGTGGAGATGGGCAGCTGGGCGGAAAGGACTCACAGTGCGGTGGCTGGCGGACCCGGCAAGGCAGTGGCTGGAGGGCCAGGGGGTCCCATATTCACGTGCAGATAAACCAGGAGCAATGCATTTAAATTGTATGCATGTAACACATAGCTCAGCTACTGAAGACCTTTGTTCTCAGCTTGAGAACTAGAGGGGCACAAAATTTCAAGCACTTGGAATAATTTATGAACTGGATTAATACAAGTACCACTTACTAGTGTGTGCAAGTTTAATATTTTTTAGAATAAAGGCCTTCACATTGAAAGACTGTAACCAGTGGTGATAAAGAAGGATAAACATGGAACATATGTAACTATGACAGGAGCTCCTTATCCTGTCCCAAGGGGAAGTAGGAAAGGGCAGATATGGCCTGAAGAACAATTTTTGGAATTTCAGCCCCACACTGACAAATGAGTCAAAAATGTCAGTCCTAACAGCCCAAACACTTTAACTATCAACACCAGTTGTTTTAAAAATGACAACTTGCCCTAACTGGTGTGACTCATTTGGTTTGGCATCATCCCACAAAGTGAAAAGTCACTTGTTCGATCACTGGTGAGGGCATGTGCCTGGGTTGTGTGTTTGGTCCCTGGTCAAAGTGCATATGAGAATTAACTGATTGATGTTTCTCTCTCACATCAATGTTTCTCTTTCCCTCTTTTCCCTCCCTCCTCCTCTCTCTGAAAATACATAAATCAAACCTTTAAAATTTTTTTTATTATTGTTCAATTGAAGTTGTCCCCATTTTCCCTGATTACTTTCCCCTGCCCTACCCACCCCCTACTTCCATTTTCAATCCACCCCCCCCGCCCTGTTGTCTTTGTCCATGAGTTCTTTACATACATGTTCCTTGCTGACCCTTCCCTTTCTTTGCCTTGTTATCCCACTCTCACCTCCCTTCTGGTCAGTGTCAGTTTGTTCTTTATTTCTATGTTGCTAGTTCTATGTTGCTTGCTTGTCTGTTTTGTTGATTAGGTTCCACTTATAGGTGAGACCACATGGTATTTGTCTTTCACTGCCTGGCTTATTTCACTTAGCATAGTGCTCTCCAGTTCCATCCATGCTGCCTTGGAGGGTAGGAGTTTCTTTTTTCTTTCTGCTACATAGTATTCCATTTCATAAGTGCACAACAGTTTTTTGATCCACTCATTTACTGATGGGCACTTAGGCTGTTTCCAGCACTTTACTATCGTAAATAATGCTGCTATGAACATTAGGGTGCATAGGTTCTTTTGAATTGGTGTTTCAGAATTCTTAAGGTATAATCCCAGCAGTGGAATTGCCAGGTCAAAAGGCAGTTCCATTTTTAGTTTTTTGAGAAAATTCCATACTGTTTTACACAGTGGCTGCACCAGTCTGCATTCCCACCAATAGTGCACTAGGGTTCCATTTTCTCTACAACCTGGCCAGCACTTATTTTTTGTTGATTTTTTAATGATGACCATTCTGACTGGTGTGAAGTGTAATCTCATTATTGTTTTAATTTGTGTCTTTTTGATGGCAAGTGATGCTGAACATTTTTTCATATATCTATGGGCTCTCTGTATGTCCTCCCTGGAGAAGTGTCCATTCAGGTCCTTTACCCATTTTTAAATTGGATTGTTTTCCTTCCTGGTGTGGACTCATGTGAGTTCTTTATATATTTTAGAGATCAAACCCTTGTCTGAGATGTCATTGGCAAATACGTTATATGGTTGGTTCACTTTTCATTTTGATGATGTTTTCTTTAGGCATGGAGAGGCTTTTTAATATGATGTAATCTCATTTGCTTATTCTTTCCCTTATATTCCTTGCTGTATGGTGCAGGTGGCAAACACAAGGCCTGTGGGCCAAATCTGGCCCTCCACTTTGTTTTATCTGGCCTGGCACCTTGTTTCTACCTGATGGCAGTGCCAAGCTCTTGCTTAACTGTTAAGGAGTAGTTACATTTACACAGTCCTAAAATTACATTCACCCCTTTGAAGGCAACCAAGAGTCTGATGTGGCCCCTGGTGAAAATTAGTTCAACACCCCTGCTCTAGGGGACATATCAGTGAAAATATTGGTGCATGGAATGTCTAAGATTTTCCTGCTATGCTCTCCTCTAGCACTTTTATGGTGTCACAACTTATGTTTAAGTCTTTTATCCATCTTGAGTTTATTTTTGTGTCTAGTGTAAGTTGGTGGTCGAGTTTCATTGTTTGGCATGTAGCTGCCCAGATCTCCAAACACCATTTGTTAAAGAGGCTATTTTTACTCCATTTTATGCTTTTGCCCCCTTTGTCAAATATTAATTGACCGTAGAATCTTGGGTTTATTTCTGGGTTCTCTATCTGTTCCATTGATGTATGTATCTGTTCTTATGCCAGTACCAGACCATTCTGATTATAGTGGCCTTGAAATATAGTTTTATATCAGGTATTGAACTATCCCTCCTACTTGTTCTTCTTAAAATTTCTGAGTCTATTCGGGATCATTTATGGTTCCATATAAATTTTTGAAATGTTTGTTCTTTATCTGTGAATATGTCATTGGTAATAGAATTGCATTAAACGTATAAATTAAAATCTTTTTTTAAGAAAAAGAACTTTGAATTAATAGAAAGAACAGCACTTTAACCAGAGGCCACCACCACCACCTACATTATCTTGTCAATAAATAAGCAAAATGTGTTTTCTAACAGTGGAAACACAGCTCCTGAGTTTATCAGTTGCTGGGGTTTAAATATATTTAAACCTACAAACAATAGAAAAGATCTTAAGTCAAAAAACCCACCTAAGATCCCACCTATACTTGTTGATAGGATCTCACATCAGGACTTCCTAGCACCACTTACATTATGTAGGTGATGGGGCTCCAGGGAATGATTCTGGAAATGCTCAAATTCTCTGTATAACTTTTTCTTCATCTCAGCGTCAATTTTGGAAACAGTGAGAGGGTTCATTTGATTGGCCAGGAAGTTGCCATAATCAGTGGTCTGGAGATGAACTTTCAGATCTGAAATTGAGTGAAATCCAAAGCAGGTTAAATTTTGAACATGCATGAATAGACTGCAACATTAATGAAATTTATATTAACTTTATGATAAAGGCATATTTAATTATGTAAAATTTATTAGACCTTAACGTGAGATCTATATATCATTTAGATGAGTGCTTTATTTCTCCTAAGCAAGAAGTAATTCAATATTAATTCAGTACAATATACACATTTGCATTACCTAAAAAACCTAGACTGATTTAGCACAGTTAGAAAGAACATTAAGAACAACCTGGTGCAGAGATGGCCAGTAGGTTTTACTGGAGCCAGTTTTAGTTGTTGGAAATAGCTACTCAGCTTTCAATAGCTTTCAATAGCTAAACTGTTGAAAAGGAAACTAAGGCTCAGCTCAATGGAAAAGAGGCATTTATCAGTAATGTGTGCCAGCAGTACAAGAGATGGCATGAGTAGCTGTCAGTCCCTCTTTATTATAGATGAAGAAACTGAGTCTCAGGGGCCAAAGGGTGGAGTTAGTAGCAGAGCTTGAACTAGGAGATGGGTTTCCTTGCTCTTAAAATCTAACATCATTTCCACAGGACCATGCTAACATCCTTTAAACGACAACATTTTTGGCTACCAGATAACTGAATTAAATTACAACTTCATTTACTGTGGCTTTACTCCTGAGCAAATCATGTGTTTTCCAGCACTCATACTTTTGTTAATACTGACCCCACCCTACTCTCCAGGAGTCCCTTCACCTTTATCCAGAGTTGCCCACTCTAACGAATCAACATTAGAACAATAGTTACCAGTAACTAAGTGCTTATTATGTACCAGGCTTTGTAGTAGCAAGTATTATCTCATTTAATGCTCATGGCAATTCTATGAGGTGGGAATGGTGTTTATCACCTTTTACAGATAAGAGATCTAATGCTCAGAGAGGTTATTAACTTGCTCAACATCACAATGGTAAACAAATTCAAAGCCAGGTTTATCTCATTCTGAAGTCACTTAAAATCTGCATTTTCTTGCCAATCAATTAAATTATGTTATTAATTGCTCTGTATGTGGAAGGTTGAATTCTGTCAGCAGAATTATTTTCTCTCACACATTTGAATTTCAAAGTTCTCTGATGATACTTCTAGCATAGCACCTGTCACAAGGTGTTATATAGTCTTAAGTATGTTAACTCCAAATAAGCTGTTACACTAGCTTAGTTGTCTCCTTTTCTGTGGCTCCTCATGAAGCACCCAAATTTGAAGTGTTGTTAAGTATATGAATATCAAAAATGTCTTTGGCACCATCTATCACACAACCAAAAACCAATACAGCATCTTGGAACTAATTGGATTCTTCATTCAAATGTTGATTAAGCATCTGGTATATGCTGTTACCATAGGAGACCCAAAGATGGACCACATGTATTCCTTATCCCTATGAAAATGCAATCTGATTGGGAAGGAAGCACCACAAACAGATAGTTCAACCACCAGTTAAGTTCAGTGATTGAGATCAGGACCTTGACTGATGGGAATGCAGACAGTGAGAGCCAGGTCCACAGAGATAGGAGCAACAGAGCTGAGGAAAGTTTCTTGGGGGATGCTAAATCAAAGATGAGCCTTAGGTACTGGGTAGGATCCAGAGGACAGCATCCCATGAATGGGATACCTGCAGGTATGGCAGGTGCCACAGCTCACAGCAGTTCCATGTTGTTGAAGCTTCAAGGGAGAAAGGGAGGTAAGAAATGAATGCAGAGAAGTAAGGAGGGGCATCCCAAGGAGGTCTAGGTAGGATGTCCTTTATCCTGGAGACAACAGGGAGCTGCTGTGGGGTGTGGTCTATGTGTGTGTTGGGGGGAGGACAGTAGTTGCAAGGAGGCATCTGTGATTCTTAAACATTTGAGATTCAGTGGTAGGTCTTCCTCCTCAGGATATGGAATAGATTATACATCAGAAAAGCTGTTTGTCTGCAACATATACTTGCTCAACTACCTATTTAATTAACTGATTAAAAAATTACACTTTTTTGTCAGGTAGGTCTTTTGGCAGTTTAGATTTTTACATTATTTGACAGTTGTGTTCTCCATGTTGCCAAAAGAAGAGATACAAATGGCATTTTTTCAAAACCATGATATGTGGCTCATATAATACATGTTTCTTTTAAGCAGAAAACTTCCAAACCATTCAAATGGCTGGTATATCCTGTAATTAGATGTGTAGTTGTTCTGAACTCATAGGAACACTGGACTGCTGTATGTGATGGGCAGGCAAATTTAATGGAAGAGACCTTCTGGTCCAGCACCAAAAGACCCAAGGGACACTTGCATTCATAGCCCAAGAAAATCTTAGAATTGGAAATGTTTGCTCTCAGACAACAATGGACTGCCAATAATAACAGCAATGCTTATATGTATAGATTTATAATTTTCAAAATGGCTTCAGTCATTTTTTTACCTGCATTTTCTCAAATGCTTATCAAAAGAAGTATCTCTGTGGTCAAATGCATTTGGAATAAACAGGCTCTTAAGTGCAGGAATTGAAAGCTTATGTGGTATTCATTTGAGTGATATTTGGCACAGAACCTCCCCAGCCAGCCACTAGAAAACAATGGAGTCACCCACACAGCACACTTCAGAAAATTATGGTGCTTTTTCATCCAGAAGTTTTGTGGCAAGTGGCATTTTTTCCCTTCTTTATTCTATGAGAAAATGAAATGTTTTCCAAACTATGGGATCACTACCAAATAAATCAGTTTATTTGGTCCAACACAGCAATAGAAGGGGAAAAAAGCCTTGATTGGGCTCTTACAACAAATATCAGAGCATATCACACAGAAGAGTGTGTGTATGTACAGGTGTGCACCCAGGGTTGTAGTGACAAATAGGTCTCTGGTGGGCTTGGTCACTGGGTTCAGGGAATTATCAGGATCACTTGGCTAGTGAGACAGGACAAGGATTTCTAGTGATTTGTTGGGCAGATCATTTTTATAAAATGATGAGAGTTGGTATTTGTTTTCTGGCAGCTTTCTGTGTAGGGTTTTCTATAAAAGGGAACATGTATGCCTCCTACTTTACAGGTTGGTTAGGCAAGGAAGTCCCTCCAGAGGTACCTGTGAAAGGTGCTATCCTTATTCAGGCCCTGCCTTTACCCATACTCTGCAGTTTCCTCATCTACAAAATGGATACAGAATCTGTGCTTTTGGGTTGTTGTGGGGATTAAGAGAAATGAAAGTGAGGAGCCAGCAGGTAGGAGCCACCACTTAATATTAATTTCTTTTTCTTCTAACTTGTACCCATCTACATCCAAAATAATTTGATTCAGTTGGTTAAGGACTCTGCTTCTTACTGTCTAACCAGAGATATTTCAACCTAAATGTTGAAATTGACCATCACATTTATATCAATATTTATAAAACCAGACAGCTTACTCCATGTTTGCTAATTTACCGCCATCTTACATTGATGAACCTTCAAGTCCTTTTTGGTGCTTTATCACCCTATACTGACTGCACTTTCTGCAATGGCCTCTGAGTCTCATTCCTTACATCTCCAGTTTAGAACCACAGGCTGCCACCCAGGTCGCTGTGGCCATCTCCTAACTGACTCTTCACAGGCAGAATAGTTTTAACATACATTGTGTCTTAATCTTAACAATAACCCCTTTTTCATAGGCAAAGAAACAAAGGCCCAGAGAAATAACCTGTTCATGTTTTGCAAACATGCAAATATTGACTAAAGACCAGGAATGTGTCTTATCCTCATTCAGTATTTCAAAGATCCATAATCAGATCTTCGAGTTCCTTCAACATTTTTCCCAGCTGAAATTCCAGCCTTATCTCCAGGCATTCTAGTATTACAGCCAAACTGGCTTACTCCCCACCCAAACACTTTTCATGTCTAACCATAACCTTGAAATGGAAATTATTTTAGGAATTTAAGAGTATAGCAGAGAGAGGAAACTAGTTCTTGTAGACACACTGCTGCTTAGGGGTACTTAGGAGTTCCCAGAAATGTTATGATTTACTGTTTACAGAACATCTTCAGGAATCTCTGCTTGCCCTGGAAATAGGGAAGAAGGACAGGGAAACATCAACTAAGGTGTCTTATTTTTATTCTCTAGCATGGAAGTCCTTTTAGGTCAGGGACTATACCTTTTCTTTTCTTTTTTTTTTAATCTATACCTTCCTTGCCTATAGCTAGAAAGTGCTTACTATGTATATGGTGGTTGAATTATCTCCCACTTGAAGGCACAGTTGGAAAGAAATGAAGGTTGTGTCCATTCATGGGAATGTCATTGTTAGTGAGATATAATCTGCTCCTCTCCCTCTCTTCTAAAGAAAGATGACTGACAGGACAGAGTAAAGGGAGGGGGTCCCTAGTCCTCTCACCACACCTGAGAGCCGTGCACACTTCTACCATATATTTTAGAAAAGACCATTATTACTAAATTCTGGAGCTCTGAAGTATGCATTGTACCACCTTGTCTTTTTTTTTTGAAAAGGAAGTAATATTCACAACAGTCTTATTTATAATTTAAAAAGCCTGATGAAAACAGTAGCGTTCGCCTGACAAGACCCAGAAGAACCTTAGTCAGTGTGCCTTAGTCAGTGGAGCAACCACTCAGAAAGGGCTGCAGATTGTGATTCCAGCTCTGACGTTGTGCTAAAGGCCACACTATGGAGATAATAGAGAGATCAGTGGTCTCAAGGGTGGGGGCTGAGGAAGGTTTTCAGGGCAGTGAACCTAAAACTGCTCTAAAAAATTACATCTTGGCCCTGGCTGGTATAGCTCAGTGGACTGAGCGCAGGCTGTGAACCAAAGTTTGCAGGTTTGATTCCCAGCCAGGGAACATGCCTGGGTTGCAGGCCATAACCCTCAGGAACCCCACATTGATGTTTCTCTCTCTCTTTCTCTCTCTCTCTCTCTCCCCCTCCCTCCCTTCCTTCCCTCTCTAAAAATAAATAAATAAAAATATTTTAAAAATTACATCTTAATACAAATATGATGGTGTTAATTCTTTTACAGACTACTTTCTGCCTCTACCATTATTATTTTGGTTCAAGTTTGTATTAAAAAAACTTAAAGGTTTCTGTGTGGTTACAGCCTCAAGTCACCATCCATTGCACAGTCCTTGAGACTAGCTTCCCTCTCTGGTCCTTGGAAGGAATGAGTCAAAATGTCCTCAAATGGACTCTGTGTTCTGTCAGTAAGGGGCAGGCCTAGGAATAGATGAGTACTTCTGACTACACCAGCACAATTTTGCACAAATATGAATACTGGGACTTTTCAAAGCTTGCATGGACAATCTTCATTTTCTATCTTCCAAATCCTCCTGAAACCTTATGTGTTTCTTGCAAATGACTCTAGAACAATTTGCTAATAACAGGCCACCTTTCTTTTAAAGACTAGAGGATTTATCTTTGCCAAGTTAGCTTTCCTTTTATAGAAAATGTCTGCTTTAGTACACAGTACCCTTGTGACACTGTTACACCTATTCTTGTTTATCCATCATTTTATGGTGTATATTGTATGCATGAGTAAACAAAATCCCAAAGTTCTTAACTTCTGTTCCTACAGGACAGCCGAGAAGGAACATTGCCAGTCACAAGTTACTTACCAACATACTGTGAAACAATCAGGCAAGGCAGACATTATTTTCTATGTCACAATGGAGCTGTCAAGTAAATGGGACCTATTCATGGGTCTTCAACTCATGCTCAAGGATAGAGATTTCAGTTTGAACAACAGACACAGATATATTCCTGTCTTCTATCCTCAAAAATAATGTTAGATTAATCATAGCCTCTGTGTCCTCATCTCGTAACCAAGGACATGTAACCCTTATTTTATTTAGACTGATTTTTTTCAGCAGTCATTATAGCCAATAGTTTCATGATTCACAGTGATATTCCTAAGAGTCCTCAAACCATAGATTGACATGGATTCAAACACAGTTGTGCAAAAATCGTTGAAAAAAATATATTTTGGGGAGGAAAGAAAGAGACATGAGAAACAAAGACAACCAAGCCACAGTGTGTGTAGAGGGTCTTCAACCAGGGTACATGGATGACTTTGGTGATCCTCCACTCCTGACGTCATATTGAAAATTCTGTGAGTGTACCTGTGTGAATTGTACTAAGACGATGCATTCTTCAAGTCTTCAAAAGTCTGAAAGCTTTCTTTCCCTCCTACTTTGAAGCTGAGGATGGTTCCTCCTTGAACTGTTTAGTGAGCAGGCTAAAACATTGTTGTGTATCCTGAAGACATTTTATGTGTTGTTTGTGTTTAAATTTGCATGTCTTAGCCCATTTAAAAGCTTGACTGAAAACTAATCAGAATTTATTCAAATGACTCCTCTCAGAAGCACTAATTCTGCCCTGCATTCATTAATTTTTTCTACCTCAACTTATGCAGATTTTCTATATGTGATTGAGACTCTGCAGTCTCCAGATTCCTATATAATATGCTGAAATGATTTAGGAGCTGGGATTATGTTGTGATTATTTGTAGCCAGCAGAGATAGTTAGCATCTGGAAGTTTTTTTTGGCTGTTTGCATTGTTAATGGAGGAGATGGTTCCTCTCAGCCTGGGCAGCTTGGCCTTAACTCTGGCTGTAACTGGTCAGAGCCATAAACAAATGACCTCAGGACCCTCAGTCCCACTTGAGAAGCCTGCAAAGTCACCTTCACATTTTTTTCCACTTTGTCTTTGCGTTCCGCTACTCTTCCTGGCAATCTTCATCCTTACTGCTTTCTTGCTTTTTCTAGAATAATCTGGAAGTTTTAAAGTACCTTCTTATTGACATACAGTACTGATTTTATGTTTCAAAATGAGTGAGTATAGCTGTTTTTAAGAATAAAAATACTGTATATCATAGATGTGACATCTTTGGTAAGATTTTGAAAATATTGTAGTTTAAAGACAATTTCCAGAGAGGGGGAAATAGGGAGGTGTCAAAAGATAGAACGTTTCAGTTTTACTAAATGAATAAGGCTTGGGGATCTACAGTACAGCATAGAGCCTAGAATTTACATACCACCCCTCCAGCAAATAATAATAAGGAAGTGGGAAGAGATATTTGGAGATGAAAGATAGGTTTAAAACACATATTGTAGTGATGGTTTCTCATATACTTATCTCTAAACTCATCAAGTTGTATACATTCAATGTGTACAGTTTTTTGTATATCAATCATACCTCAATAAAGTGGTTTCAAAAATAGATAATTTCCATTTACAGAGTGCTTCTAATTCTGACAACATTCTCCCATATATTACCTCATTTATTTCTCCAAACAACTTGACAAAGCAGGTGTCACCATTGTAATGAGAAATCTGAGGTCAGTCTGGAGCCTCAGGTCATCTACCTGCACCTGGCAGTGCTCAAAGACCTTTGTATCAGGGCTGGCTTCACCACAGACCCCACTGTGGGTTTTTAAAGCTTCAGTTAAAGACAAGCCTCAAGTAAACTTAAATAAGGTCTTCTGCCATTCCTTATGCATAGTGAGAAAAAGACAAGTTTCTGCTGCACAGTGGGCAATGCGGTAAGTGGTGCCATGCCCCACACTGCACATGGGCAACAGGTTCTAAGAGTGGCCGTGTTCAGCACAGGAAGGGTTTTTGTGGGTGGGTTCAAGGTCACCCTTCTTAACTTCTTCCAGTACTTAACTTTTTCTAATTAGAAGGCATCACAACAGAACAAACCTCCCATATTGGTCAAAAACAAAAACAAAACAACAACAACAAAAACACTGTGCCAAAGAATTAAGTGTTAAAGCCACACAAATTTAATATCTGCTACATTCTTCAAAAAATCCCAACCTGATTCAAGTGGATTTCAGTGAGAAACACCAGAAAGCATGTGACACAGCTCAGGATAGGGGCACTCCAAACAAACCCAGGAAGCTTTGGTACTGATTCAGGGACACTCCTGCTTTAACTTGCTTCTCACAGATGGAAAAAGGGTCTGCAAATTGTCATCAGATTTTCTGGGCCCTTAAGCCAGAAGGGTTCTTATGTTTGAGGTTAGGGTTGGAACTCTTTATACTTTGTTGGTTTTGAATAATTCAAAGTTATAAGGGTTTCTTAATATTTTCTTTTTCCTGAAGAGAAAAGTATTTCAGCTGTTGGTTGGCTACATGAAATCCATCCCCTCAGTGACTTGTAAAGTGCTGTTTGCCTTAATGTTTTTATACAGTATTAATTAAGTCTGAAGAACAAATGTCTTATTGTTCTTAAGTGATCCTACTTCATTCCTGATGATAAAATCTGTTCTAATGGCAAGAGTTTTTAATCTCATTAGGAAGGAATCAATCATCACTCATAATATTTAGATACAATATTTATGTAGGTATCACTAAAAAGCAAGGGCAAAAATCTTGGAATGACTATTTATTACAAAAGCTTAAGGTCATTAATTAGTATACCTCATCCCAATTTTATATTGGCTTGAAAATAAATGAATAATTGCCTGAGCAAGATGATTATTTTTCCCTATACTTTATATTTTGTTCTGTCTTTATTGTTTTCTTTTCTGCTCACCAGCACAATGCATATTTTTTTTGCAGAATTCCAACCATGACAGAAATTTATG